GTTCTGAGTATTGGATTCAACCCGCGCTCATTTGAATAACTTCATGGATTTTATCACGAGTGATCATGAGACGATAATATCTTATATTCTTCAAACCTAGAGATATGAGTTGTTACTATGAGTTGGTTATACATTGATTGCACGAAAACGCATTGGTAACTCGATGTTATACAACGTGCCTTTGTGTATGATTCAACAAGTAGTAGAACAAGCCATATGAGTCGAAGTTTATCCATTCCTTTTACCTTCGGGATAAAAGCGATATCTGTGGGCCCCTCGATGATTTAAAGATGTTACATGTGAGTGCTTGGCCAAGCCAGGACTGATTTGATTTGTTCAATCAGTCAGTCATCATGAATCGGAAATCGGGAAACAACAAATGGACAGAGAGAATGATTGATAATCCATGTCTCAGTCCAAATGATATCCAAAATGGAGGAATATATGATCCCTTATCTAATGGACAAGTCATTGACAAAGGTCAGAGTTCATCGACAAGGTCAGAGTTCGACAGAAGCTTTTGAGAGCTACGATTGCTGATCGGTTCCTGAAGTCATACGCAATAATAGTTTTAGACTTATCCAAGTGGGAGACTGTTGGATTAATGTCTAAGTCCATAACTATAATTGGTAAGACTTGACCCGACCCGGCATGGTCTATTTGGGTTGCATGGCATCATGCATTTGGATAGACTATAATGAGAGAAATAACACTTAAGGTTGGTTAATATATTATAAGTTCTAATATATTAATAAGGTTATTTAATTAGTATTGATCAAGAATTAATTTGGAATTAATTAAGTGATCAAAAGGAGACTAATTAAATATATGGGTTGATTGTGTAAATCATTCATTCTTATATATGTGGGCTTGTGATCCAAGATTCCTTATGTTGGACTAAGTCCATGGGGTGACCCATGGATACTCCATGGAGGTTAAAATCCATGGAGCATAAGGAATGGGTAAAGTTACGAGTTACATGGTGTAACCCTCATAGCCACCATATAAAAGAATCCCATGGCTCAAGAAATCGTGGACTAATGTGTGAATGTGAGGGCTAGACGATTTCAAGGAGTGCTCAAGTTTCTCTCAAGTTATTCCAAGTGTATTTCGTGTTGTGTGAACCATTTGAGGTGTCACACTTGGGGCACTAGGCACTCAAGCTTCATGAAGACATTCTACATCAAAGAGGTATGTATTCTATCTTGTTATATTTATTATTTTGTATGCTAGATTAGGATAATACCTTGGATGTTCATAATTGTATGTATAATAGAGAAAACATAGATCCAAGGTATTTAGGGTTGCATGTACACTTAGGAGTGTTAGAATGCTCATAACCCAACAAGTTTCTCACACCAAAACGATATATTTCTCCATGAATACCTGGATCCGACCAAGAACTCCAAATTTGGAACAAAACCGGCCCCTCTGTCGCTAAAATACCCCTTTCTGACCTTCCCAGAATCGGGAAACTCTAGTGGCCTGGCCTGCCGTCAGACCGCCCACTCACGCTATCACCATGATGTTCGCTCTTCGAACATCAAACCCTGATAACTCACTGCTCCTCTGATTCTCACAAGACAAAATCCGACAATCGGCTACCGATCACTCATACCAACGTACCAAAACAGTCCGAATCACGCCCCCAAGGAACGAAAGGGTTTACATCCCATCAGGGCTCATCCACTGAACTACTATCAAAATCCATCCGAACAATAAACTTTCAACATCCTGTTCTCTGACACAAGAGAATCATGCTCGCTCAGAAGTCCTCAGACATCTAAAATCATAAGCCTCAGCTGCATCCCTCGTATCCCTTTTTAACACTGAGTACCAGGTCTGATCTCGACCCAACAGTTGAACCTCCAGGGTCATCCGTTGCATTATCCCAACCGTCTCCATGGTTTCCTTCTTACCATAACCACATCGGCCCAATGTGACACACAAGTAATGAAGTTCGCTTAACCCTAAGCGAATGCCACCTTCCCAACTGGAGATCGACTCAACCCCGACCTCTATCATCTGTTACTCATCGTTCCATGCAACTTGCGGTACCTCTCGTACCCGAGTACTGACCGACACAGGTCTAAGACATCAGATAACAAACAATACTCCTCAACATGGAACCCACCTCAGAATCCATAATCTCATCTCGCCTATCCAACGCACCACCAGAGCCAAACTCAACTCGAGAGTTTGGTCCGACCCAGAGTTGGAACCACTCGTCCCAACCAAGCACTCAACTCAGAACTCATTTCCCGCAACCCATGCGTACCTCACTTATTTCATTCTTTCGGATTGCGGTGACCACACCTTACTCAGAACATAATGACTCCCTATCTTTGAGGAGACCCCGGTCTCGCCCCTGGTCCGACCACTAGGTTCCCATAAACTCACAAACTAGGGCCACCCCATGCCTAAAACTCTTCTGCGCCATGCTCTGATCAAAGAGTACTTTATCATGACAACTTCTCGCTGACCAGTGTGTACTACGTCTTCCCGTAGCATCACATCGACCTCTCACTGACTGGTGAGTACTACGGATTCCCGTGGTATCACCACAACTTCTCACTGACTGGTGAGTACTACGGCTTCCCATAGCATCACAACAACCTTTGACTAGTGAGTACTACGGCTTCCCGTAGCATCACAACAACCTCTGACTAGTGAGTACTACGACTTCCCGTAGCATCACAACAACCTCTGACTAGTGAGTACTACGGCTTCCCGTAGCATCACAACAACCTCTTACTAGTGAGTACTACGGCTTCCCGTAGCATCACAACAACCTCTGACTAGTGAGTACTACGGCTTCCCGTAGCATCACAACAACCTCTGACTAGTGAGTACTACGGCTTCTCGTAGCATCACAACAGCCTCTGACTAGTGAGTACTACGGCTTCCCGTAGCATCACAACAGCCTCTGACTAGTGAGTACTACGGCTTCCCGTAGCATCACAACAACCTCTGACTAGTGAGTACTACGGCTTCCCGCGGTATCACTACAACCTCTCACTGGCTGGTGAGTACTACGGCTTCCCGTAGCATCACAACAACCTCCACTAGTGAGTACTACAGCTTCCTGTAGCATCACAACAACCTCTGACTGATTCACAATCCGCGGATCAATCATAGATAGGTGCATGCACTTACCCAAATTATGCATCACTATATCTGGCGGCAATCGTCATAACAAAACACCCTTCCCTGCTACGATCCATATTCTTGGACAATCTCACTTGCTGTCATTAACCGAAAGGGCTCCCACTGGAATCATCGATGCTTGACCCACCACTTGCCGTTTCCACTCAAGACTCAAAATTATTCGAAATCCAATGCATTAAATTCAGATACCTCGATACACCACGTAGGACCTCACGACGTCTCGTCTCATCCACTGATCTTCCTGTTCCACAACCTGAAATTGGTTGTCTAATCAACTTCTACCCCTTTCCAAGCTGAATAACAGCCCCATCATTGAAACAAAATTTCTCAACCGCCGAACTCACTCTACGAGCCAACCATCTCGAATTCACCATTATGACCTTGAAGAATTCCCGTTCACCCCAAGGTCTCCGATCAACGGCCACTTGCCGTGGAGGCACTCATCCTTTTCAAACATAACACATGCATTATCTCGCTCTGCACCTCGTCTCAATCACCAACAACCTTGGGCTCAATGAATTCGCACCACCGGTCTCTATATCCAGATCTCTAACCATTCTCGATCGAATCTCTGATCCCCTCAATAAAATACTCGGTGCTCCCCCACTTAGGGTTCAAACCATCCCCAATCGGCGCACTAGCAATCTATCACACCGACTGTTTCCACCAGTAATCATCGCACCTACTCTTGGAAAGTGCTACGCAACGCTCGATGATCTCCCGACAGAGATCGAGCAACTCCAAATGCCCTGAAACTCAGATGAAATCCTCAGAACTTCCCACCATGACTGCCTCTAGTCATTCAGAATCTCACACCATTCCATCACCGGACCTCCCAACTATCCAGTATTAACCATGACTCTTAGTCTGGAAGTAATGATCTACTTTCATCCTATGACAATAATAAATGCTACTTTCATCATTTTCTTTGGGTTCTCCTTGATGGTCGATGAACATCATAGATATTAAGTTAATTCGATTTTCTTTGGGTTTTCATTCGTTCAAACTTTCCAAATGTTTAGACTTTCATCATTCAAAATGCTTAATGTTTAGGAGATATTAAATTTGTTTATTGGATTTTCATTATTTAATAGGAAACCGTACATTTATTTCAAGAATGTCATTGACGTCTTTAGATAAAAGGATTCGTTTCACATTTCAAATAAATAAATTTTCATTGGTTGTATGTCATTACTCATTTTTATTATTTTGGGTTCAATTACATACTTATTAATCAAAGTCTTTGTATATATGTAAAAGTATTACTTTAAAAATTGTTTAATTTTTACAAGTTAATATTAAATTTATTTTTTTAATAAACTTGTGTTTTGAACTTTTTTAACTTTTCAAGTTGTTTTAAAAAAACTTTTCAACTTTCCAACCATCTTTTTTAATTTTTTTTTTGACTTTTTGAAAAAAAGAAACAAAAGTTAGTTTTTAATGCAATCCCAAACACCTCTGAGAAGAAAGAATCGATGAGTCAAAATTGAAAACTATTGAAACTGATGAGCCGGTCGAATCATAGCCGACCATAATATCCAATAGGAGTCCACTCTTCACTTCGTTATCCGTCTCTGTGGCGTTATGCAGATCTTCATCAAGACCCTCCCCCGCAAGACCTTTACCTTGTAGCTCGAGACTTCGGATACCATCCACAACATCAAAGCCAGAATTCAGTGTAAGGAAGGTATTCCTCCTGATCAGCAGAGGCTCATTTTCGTCGGCAAGCAGTTAGAAGATAACAGATCCGCCTTGGACTACAATATCCAGAAGGAATCTCCCCTTCATCTGGTCCTTGGTCTTCTTTGGGCAGGATGCGGATCTTTGCCAGAATGCCAATGGGGAGGACAATAACTTTGGAAGTTGAAAGCTTTGATACCATAGGTAAAGTGAAGGCCAAGATTCAGGATATAGAGGGGATTCCACCGCATCATCAGCTTTTGATCATTGCTGGGAAGAACCTCGAGGGTCCTAGAACTTTGGAAGAATACGACATGCCATTAGTTTTTACATTGCACCTGAGTCTGAAGTTTGAAGATGATATGCGGATTTTTGTAAAGACTTTGACAGGGAAGGCCATCACGCTGGTGGTGGGGAGCTCCGAAACCATTTGTAATGTGAAGAAAAAAATTCAGGCCGTTGAGGGGTTTCCATGGCATCAACAGCGTTTGTTCATTGCTGGAAAGAAGCTTGAGAATAACAAAACTTTGAGGGATCATAACATCGAAAAAGAATCTACATTGGACCTTATTCTTGGTCGTGGATGGGGAGGAGATGTTTTTCAGATTTTTGTTGAGACTTGGAATGGGAAGATCATTGGGCTGACAGTGGAGAGCTTGGAGACAGTTAATAACTTGAAGGCGATGATTTGGGTCATAGAGCGGATTCCATTTCAACACCAGTCGTTACTTTATGATGGAAGGCATCTAGCGGATGGTAAAACTTTGGGTGATTATAACATCCAGAATAAATCTACAGTGCACGTGATGCAGAAGATGTATGGAGGTTGTTATCATGTTTTTGTTAAGACTTTGACAGGCAAGACCATCAAGGCTTCTCCAGGAGCTACAGGGACCATTGATGATTTGAAGGCAAAGATTCAAGACATTGAAGGGATTCGACCACATCATCAACGTTTGGTTACTTCTGCAAAGACCCTTGAGGATGTTAGAACTTTGGCGGATTATAATATCCAACAAGAATCTACATTGGATCTGGTTCTGAGGCTTGGACGAGGTGATATGCTGATTTATGTTGTGATTAATTTGAAAAGGAACTGGAAGATCATCATGCTGGAGGTGGAAATCTCGGATACCATTGATGATGTGAAGGAAAAGATTGAGGAGAAAGAGGGCATTCCCGCTGATCAAACAAGACTTATGTTTGAAGGGAAGGAACTAGATAATGGGCAGACTCTGGCTGATTATAATATTCAGCAGGAGTCTACTCTCGACCTTTTTGAACAATCATGAAAACAATGCATCTTCACGTGTACTGTAATCTTTTTGATCCTGAACTCTGAATTTATATGTTCATGTATAATTAAATAAAAACTTCTTCAAGTCCGCATCTTGGATGGACTTAATTTCTACTTTAATGATACATAAACCAGGAACTTTTTTCCTTTTTGTGATAGATATGGTCATGCTGATGACAATGTTGTCTTATCTTTTGTTAATGCTCATGAGTAGTTGTAGTCATGGAACTATCATGAACCTTTACTGTGATTTAAGTTATTTGGAACAAAGTTATAATGCTTTACTGCGATTTGTTCACCTATTTCATCTTATCCGGCTTTATGTTATTGTTTTGGTATCTTTGTTTTAGTTTTTTCTTTAGTTTATTGTTCTCCGGTGACATAGGTTGTGTTGTATAAATGTGAAGAAGAATGGAACTCAATGTTACATGTCATTTAGATAAATAGTCAAACACCACTTGCTCCATTAAATTCCTCAATTAAATGTTAATTTCATATGAGTGTGGTACTTTTTAACCAGTAACTAAGATCTTCGGTAACAAAGCTCTGAGAAATATCCTAAAAGTTGGAATTTTATTTTAATTATTTAGAATCGAATCCTGCAGTTCTTGTCTCAAATGAAAGAAAGTGTTTGTTGTTTGGAATTTGATATATATAATTTACAGTATCTTTTATATGGTTAAATGTAATAATAGCAGCATGTTTTCATTTACTTATGTACGTTATTTTTTCAAGTACAACAAAAATAGTAACCAAGAAATACATCAAATTGAGTTAAACAATTCTTTGAGACCCGGTGTATCACTTAATCATGATAACATCTCATGTGGTGAAAGCTAATTTTTTTTTTTTTTATCTTGCTAGTATTATGCTAAGAAGGATGTGCCTATTGAGAATTTTGATCGTAGTTTCTTATGCGTTTGTTAACAATCGATTTTCTACTGTAGATTCATAGAACATTCTTGTGGAGCTCAAATAAATAATAGTTTATTATTATTATTATTAGGGTAAATTACATGAATAATTCGTATGGTTTGGGGTAATTTGCTTCTTTAATCCCTAACTTTTATTTTAACTCGCACGGTCCCTATTACATATTTTCGTTACACGTTTAGTCCTTATACTACCTTAATAATTTTTTTTTTCTGAATTTTATTAACAAGATGTATTTTAAAAATGTATGGGTTACACCACCTTATCACTACCCATTTGACCTAACCTACATTTCTCACCATTCTTTCCTATCGTGATCATCTTGTCTCTTGTTCCCTTCTCTCTCACCGGAAAACTTCATCGCCAGAAATTGCCATCATCGGAAAACGCCTCACCTCACCGTACTTTCGCCAACACCACCCTACACCGAAGAAGTCGTAGTCTACAATCCACTGGATTCTTCTTGAATTAGCGCTACTAACATCGACCCTCCTCTCGTCCCTTCACACATTATCCATCCTACCCTCGATCTCATATTCCTAAGTTTCCAGAGAATGGTTCATGAGTTTTCTGGCGATTTCACGATTTTATCCACCATCGACAGATACCGAAAGACTATCGATTTCAATTTATACGGTTGAAAACTATTACAGGTTTTGATTTCATCCACCGTTGTGATCGGAAATTAAATTGTAGAAGATGATTCGTTTTTTGTAAACGATTTAGATTTTGATTTCAGGTATCAATGTTCATTTATTTTGTTTTTTGTTCATTGATGATGCTTTGATGATTAGCAACTGAAATCCTTTTTAGATGGTGGATAGTAAACGATGCAAGAGGATCGATTTTTTAATTTGTTGTTGTAAACAATATTTGAATTTATTGCGGGGTCGGTGTGCTCTCTTTGTTTTTTGTGGGTTGTAAAGAAGATAATGGCATCATGGTAGGCTGAGAAAGGAGACGAACGGATCTATTCACCGACATTTGGGAATTCAGAAGGGAGAGGGATTATTGGGTTGATGATAGTGAGAGGAAGTGGGTGGTAGCCGAAGATTTCACCGGAGATGGCAACAATGGAAAGGGAATTGGTAGGAACGTGAATGTAGTGTTTTCTCGTGGAGTCCGACATATTCTAGTGGAGTCAAACTTTTTCCGACACCTGAACACAAGGAGGCAGGGGAGGGGAGGAGGGTGTCGTGAGGGTTCTTGAATCAAACCAATATATATTTAATTAATATTTTTATTCTACATTTAATTAATATTTTTTTTTAATTAACTGATAATTTAAAAAAGATAAAAAAATCAGTAATGGTAAATCAGTCTTTTTAAAACAGGGACCAAGCGTACAACAAAAATATAAAGTAGGGATGGTCTGAGTTGAAAAAATTCTTTAGAGACCATGCATGCAGATTACCCTAGACCACATGGACCATCCGTGTAATCTACCCTTATTATTATTTTGTATTTAAGGGGTGGAGCCGAAAGTGAGTACTTCTTTCATCTATCTTTTAGATGAAATGTTTTCATGATATATAATTGAGTTTACATAAGTAATGTGGCTATACTTGATAAAATTGGTCAAGAGAGTATCACCCCAAATCATCATTTTTCATTTCACATCCCTTTTAATTTTACTTCACCACTCAATCCACTTTTTTCGGACCTTCTTTAGAGTCAAATGTATTATCCAAAAGTTCAATTTTACGGCAATCACTCTGTAGTCGTCACTTATACGGCTTCAATCGCCCACGATCTCCGACTATTACTCTGATTGAGATTGAGTGTGTAGGTTTCTTTATTATCTACTATATACTTAAATCGAGGTTTCCCCTATAATTTGTTTTTCTCCTCACCATCATCTCTGAGTGTTCTCCTTCTTTGCTGAGACTTTCATATCAACGAGCCATCATCATCAACGATAAGTTTTTTGACCATCTCATGATCATATATTCATATTTATGTTTCCTCCATCTGAAAAATCCGGGTTTACCAACATATGCGTCCTCCGATCTCAGATGGAATCGGAGATTCAATTGTCTATTTATCTTCTTCTCTAACCAACTCCAAGTTAGGTTTTCCATCCCTTCCGACGATGGAGGATTCATTTTCTTGAAAACGAGCATGATTAGTCTCGATTTCAGCCCAGGTGGAATTTGCATGATTCTTCGCGAGTTAAACCTCTCATGTAATCCATTTTTAGTATCTTGGGCTTCTTTTTTAGCTGGTTAATGGTGCTTTCTCTTAGTGTATACATATTGTATTATTGTAGCCCATTTGTGTTATATAGTTAGCGTATTTGGTGTAGCCCAATACTTTGTATTTGTATACACATATTCTTGAATTAATGAAGATTACGTTCATGGTAAAATCAATCTCTATTATGGTATCAAACTAAATCAAAGAAATCTATATTTTCCTTTTTTCCCTTCTTCTTCTCGATCCTACTCTCACCAAACCCTCATCTCTTCTACAATCATCTCTACTATCTCCCTTATTCTCGTTTACAATTGTTGGTGAACCATTAATCCATCCAACCAAAAACTGTATGGTGTTCTCAACATCAAGACATATGTTACGATGATTCTTGAATTATTAATCTGTTGATGTGTGTGTACAGTCCCTCCTTTGCCTTCCTACAATCTGATAAAGTACCTAAAAACATTTAATCCACAACCTTAAGCACAAAACTTTGTGAGTTCCAAAAATATCACATACAACACAACACATCTAAGCATATATAACAACTATGGTTTATCAGCAACCCTGAATCATCAGTGACTCAAATAGTGCATATTAGGGTTATCAGAAACCCTGAGTCATCAGTGACTCAAGCACATCAATTTGGGTTATTAGCAACACCAAGTCATCAGCGACTCACAAACAACAATTTGGGTTATCAGCAACCTCGAGTCATTAACGACTCACATCTATCATATGATATAAGTAATACAATGAGAATACTCACCTGAACACAGGCTGAAAGATCAACACTCAGTGACTCGCCAAACAACTACACAGACCTCCTTAAAAAAGTCAAACCTTATAATACTACTTGAAACCCTAAGTTTAACTACAAGGTCAAAACTCAATGGTCAACGGTTAACCATCACTGACCACCATGCCATGGCCAAAACCTCTTGACAACACTGAGGTCACTAAAGGACAAAACAGACGCGGACTCGCAATCCACCGCACCATAGACACCACCTCACCGTCCCGCGATAAACGTCCATAACAACTTAATCCATTAAGCTCTTAACTCTTAAGTCTAGAGCTCTAAAGCTCTGATCTGGATCCAAATGATGTCTTAATGTATAAAGATTACAACTTTATCTATTTAAACAACCCAAATCAACTAGATCTAAAACACTAATTTCTTAAAAGTCCAAAATCCCACTTTCTTCATGTATGGAGTAAAGAGATCCCTTACATGCACTCTAAACTTCATCAACACAACATATATGAAGTTGAACACCACCCAGAGATCATGGAGTTGTCCAAACTCTATAGATCAAACCATCCAAGGGACCACAACATCAAGTAAAGCACTAAAACTTCAATTACTTCAAGATCAATAGGTAAAAACTAATAAAGCTTGAGTATTTAAGACATACCAAGGTCCAAAAGATTGATGAGGGTTGAACTCTTCAGTTGCAAAGCTTCGAAGATCAATGTTGAAAGAATACAACACTGTAAGGCCACAAAACACCAAAAAGGATGAGAGTAGAGAGGAGAGGCTCCAAGTTGTGAAAGGGAGGCTAGGGTTTGCTCCCGAGGAGCTCTTGATGTGGTGGAGGCTGAAAAATGACCTAAAACATGAAACAATGCCTTTAAATACAAAGAAAAACCTAATTTTTATGGGTTTGTGCCACAACTCACCATACCATTGTAATCTTCTTACCACACCGTGGTGACCAGTTTTTACTTATTCCATTGTGACTTTTAAACAATCATAACTTCTTCTTTTCAAATTCGTTTTCAATTATCTTTATATGCATGCGAAGATATTCACAAGCCCCATAATTTTATATAATTAATTTTGACTTAATGAATACCGAAGTT